GCTGCATACAACGACCCCTCCGAGCACGCAGGACTACCTGGGGAAAGATAGTCTAGGATCGAGATCGAGGGGATGAGCCGATCGATCGCCTCACGCCCGACCGCTGAGGTCAATCGAGATGCCATGGATCAGATCGGCCGTGTTCTCGCTGGCGGTAACGACACCCGCTGGGGATCCCGTGAGCACCTTGCGATTCACGGGGCCCCAGATCACATCCAGCACGATGTCGCGCGATGTCGGAATTGCGATCGTTTCTTATCCCTCGGAATCGTCACAAGTGACGGTGCAATTTGTGATATCTGCTGGCAGTATACTGTCGCTGTAGGTGCTGCAGGCAAAGGTGGCGCCGCGGAGAGCGACCTGGCATACCTCCAGAGGTTGACCGACTGGATCAAGACGACCCTCTCCCAGGACGACATCGCCAGGTATATGTCAGATGGAGCGAATGTCCAGATGATGGGCAAACGCTCACGGGCTGGCCAGCAAAAGGGTAACTTGATGAAGTATGCGAAGAAAGCCGTGGAGAGGTATCAGAAGTGGGTCGACGCAGGCCCCCCTCCTGCGCGCATGTGTAGGTTGATGGGCGAGTCTAAGGACGACAGACCTCTATGCCACCCCATCGCCAATCTCGTTCAACGTTTCCTGAGCGATGCAAAGTTCCACCACCAATTGACAGCCGCACGTGTCAATAGAGGCGACGAGGCCTACACTATTGAAGACGCGCGCGACGCCCATGATATCCACGATATCAGCGTCAGGACTGGCCAAGCTGGTCGGAAGAAATGGTGGTTGAACACAGGCAGACTCGATAGAGGCACGAGGCAGGAGCGCGGACTTATCGCGATTGCCCTTCCCCGCGGGGATGGCACTCGTGAGAAAGTCACGCAGCGCAAGCTTGCCGTGCTTGCCTCCATCGAACCCGGCTTAGGTTCCACAGACCAGAGGGGGGTTAGTTCAGGAGTAGAACCGATCCGATCGATCCTGATACATACCTTTCGCAACCTCATGGCGCCATGGAGCCACGCCTGCCGCGGCGCCCGCCGCCGCCGCCGCGCCCCGCCCCTGGCGATGCTGCTGAATCCAGCGCCTCTGGCGCGCAGGGCGACGCGCCCGCTGGGCCGCGCGGCGCAGCCGCGCAGCGGCAGAGCGGCGACGACAGCCGCAGACCCACGACACCTCCCCGCGCCAAGAGGGCGCGCAAGACGGAGGACTACGCGACGTGGTGGCGCAAGAACCTACAGGAGAGCCAGTGGGGCCCCAGGTGCTGGGGCTACTACGCCAAGTGCTGGATATACATCGCCGACAACATCGACGAGTTCGTGTACGTCAGCGACTTGCAGTACAACGATCGGTTCCGCAACTGGACCCCGAGGACGCCCTGGGGGGCCTTCGCGACGAGCTACATCGCGGAGGATGGCCACAGGGTGTGGGACAAGAGGTTCTACGCGAGGGGCAACGCGTAGCGTAGTCGGTCGCAGGGCCCACCGCTCGAATGGCTCGAACTTCATCTTTATACAAGTTCGCCTCGAGCGGTGAATATCCACATCATTTTAGGCCACTTCACGATCCAAGAAAAGTGGCCACACATACCCGTGTGAAACCCAAGGCAGCCTCCTAAGGAGCAACGCCGAGGGGAGTAACGATATGCAGAAGTTATGTACGCAACTTTTCGTGTTTATCAACGCGACTTTACGTGCGGCCGTGCACATTTTGCTTTGACGTTTAGACGTGTTTCTCAACACGATCGTGTTTCTTAACACGACTTCTAATACACATTTTATGTTTGTTTATTCTTCGCAGTATAGTACCATTGCGTCGAGAACGATCTGGTGCCCAGCTCTCGAGTGAGAGCTGGTGGCAACACCTGCCGCGCTCAGGCGCGGCAGCTTTTGATGTTGCTTTAACTTGCTCAGATCCTCTTTCTCCGCCCACCCGTGTCTCATTCTTCTCCGCCCTCGAGTGCCGAAGCGTTTTTTTGGGGCGCACCGAGGGGGCAGCAAAGTGTGCTTGGCGAAGAAACAGGGACCCTGGGTGTTCCTTCTTACCTTATCTTGCCTCATCGTGACGCTTTCGCGATTGGGACGCAGCTGAAGCGATGCAGATTTCACGCTCAGCTGCCTGACAGACCTGAGGATTTGCTTTTCTCCTGTTCCCGAGTCCTACCCTGACGGGCGGGATTCTGGACGGGGTGTGTGTGAATAGAACCCGTGTAATACCCTCATATATACTCCTTATCCTCACCTCTCCTGCGCCTGGCCGTTCGGGCTCAGGTGTTGGAATATATCGATCAGACCTTTGATCGTGCAAGAGGAAAATATATCCATATTTCCCTCCTTTCCTCTACCAACGGATCAGGGGTTCTGTACCTTTGTCCTCTAACCCCACGCGCAGGGTAAAGGGGTCAGAATCCCTGGGTCCGCGCTTTCAAAGACGAGCCACATCGTGGACCTTGGGATCCTCGTCGCCAAGATCCTGCAGAACCGTGGCAAGTGCCAGCCTGGGCCCTCCACCTCAATTCCCTGCGGCAGTTCCCGAGCTGGGTGCGATCCGCGGGAGTCTGGGCCCCGAAACCTGGCGATACAAAAATTGATGAATCGATTTTCCACAAACGTTACCATAGGTAGGAGATGGAGGAAGAGGAGCAGCAAGAGGAGGAGGCGGAGGGGGAGCAGGAGGAGGAGGAGGAAGAGGAGGAGGAGGAGGAGGAGGAGGACGAGGAGGGCCTCTCCATCCTCCCTTGCCGGCGGCAGTTATGCTGGAACATCGGCCCCTCAAAAGTGCGACGCCCCGACATCAGGGGGCACCCTCCCCAGACCTTGCCCCCGACGCGCGAAACGCCTCCCCAGAGGCGGCGGCGAGAGCGCGCCCCAGGGGCGCGTCGAGGAGGGCGGTCCGACGCCGACGGGGAGTGCGCCCGCTGACATCGATGAACGCCATGCAGCAAATACATAACTTCTCGGAGGTCCCCGCGGATTTCTTGGATCCGCGCTGGGGCCCCCTGGCGGCGCCTCCAGCGCCGCCTTCGGCGCGCTGAGCGCGCCGGCGAGGGTGGGCCCAGCGCGGGTCCCAGAAATCGGCGTGGAACTCCCCAAGGTTTATGGTTATGCAGTTTTTCAGTTTCTCTGTGACGTCCAGGAGGGACCCTCTGGTGCTGATCGAGGGGCGGACGACCCCGCTGCTCGGTTGACCGGGCCGACGCGCGGGTCGCCTCCTTCTGGGCATCCATCTTTCGTCTCGTCAGCACGGCGCGTTCGCTGTTGGCGGGCGAGCGCAAGGGGCCTCGGGCATCTCCCGAGGGCGGCGGCAAAGGACGGGCAAGAGGGGGGAGGAGGGCCCAGAATCTCCAGCGACGTGTGTCTTTTGTTGTCATATCTGGTCGTTTGTCTCGGCTCGGGCCTCCGGGCCCCCAAGACAATCAAACGTGGATCCCGGCGAAAGCTAACCCGGGGAAGGAGTCGGGGGCTCTGAGGGCGCGCGCGTCGAAATAGGCACATCGTTGGATGAGACAAGGGGGAAAGGGGCGAGGGGCAGTAGGAAGGAGAGAGAGATGAAGGGGGGGCGGGCCGATGGGGAGCGAGGAGAGGTGACTGGGGAGAGTGGGACGACGGGGGGGAATCATCAGGAGGGGGAAGAGGCATGGGTGGGTTGTGGGCGAGGAGGAGGAAAGGAGGCGGATGAGGAGGCGCACTAGAAGGAGGAGGCGGAGGAGGAGGAGGAGGAGGAGGAGGAGGAGGAGAGTGAGGAGGAGGGGGAGGAGAAGGAGGAGGAGGAGGAGGAAGAAGAGGAGGAGGAGGAGGAGGAGGAGGGGTAACGCCAGTTGGAGGAGAAGTTGGAGGAGGCGATGGAGGGAGGAGGCGATGGAGGATTGTTGGCTGGATGGGGGGTGGGAGAGGAAAGAGGAGGATGAGGAGGAGGAGGAGGAGGAAAAGGCGGAGGAGGGGTATCAGTTCGATGATGATGGTGTTGGTGATGATGATGATGATGATGATGAGGAGGAGGAGGAGGAGGAGGAGGATGATGATGAGGATGATGAGGATGATGATGGTGGTGATGATGTCGATGATGAGGCTGATGCTGCTGCTGCTGCTGCTGCTGCTGCTGCTGATGATGATGATGATGATGATGATGATGATGATGATGATGATGATGATGATGATGATGATGATGATGATGATGATGACGCTGGCGCTGCTGATGCTGGTCGTGGCTGTTCCCACATCGAGCTCGCATTCGGAAGCGAGTGCGCTAAAACCTAAGCGGGCGCGAAGAGCGCGCGGTTCAGACCAACGATGGCGACGGGGGCAGTGGAATTTGACTTCGCGGTGACGACGGGGCTTCTTTGAGTTGCAGCCGTCGTGAGATTGACCGTGCTGGCGGGCCGCCCTGCGTTAGCTATGACTTGAAGGTAAGCGCGCGTAGCGCGCTCGTGGTTCCAGTATATAGATACATTGCCTACAAACGCACGTGCGTACATACATGCATCCATCCATGCATTCGAACACATTTTACATACACGCATACATGCAATCATGCATGCATGTATACGTACAAACACGCACACATGCTTGCCACCATACACACGTACATACGTACAGTTTTGCTCCTCTCGCTCCGCCTCATGACGACGGCGGATCGAGGCACTAGGCCCTCGACGGGCCTTCCCTCTCAGGCCGCTTCTCCTCCTCCTCCTCCTCCTCCTTCTCCTCCTCCTCCTGCTCCTTTTCCTCTTGCTCCTCAGATGATGATGGGGAGGCGTGTTTCATCTGAGGCGGCAGTGGCGCCTCGTCGACGGCGGGCCGAGGCACTAGGCCCTCGACGGGCCTTGCCTCTCAGGCCGCGTCTCCTCCTCCTCCTTCTCCTCTTCCTCCTCCGCAGATCCGTAGCCATGTTGGCTCAAGGCCAAAATGGTGTCCACTTCAGTTTCTCAGCGGGGTCGGCTCCCACAGCCGCAAGCAACTATACCATCCTCCTACAGTTCCAAGCCCCGCCAGTGCGCGGGCATGCCATGTGCCAAGAACAGCATTGCGCACTGCATTGCTGGCATCCGCTCCGTGATCTTCATGACCGCGCTGAGGCAGGTCGTGAACCTCTCGCTCGCCCCGCCGCTCATCTACGTTCGTCCAGCGCCCCCAGCTACGACACGGGCCACTGGATCCGAGCTGGGCCACACTCTTGGAGGCAGGTTTCGCAGCGTCCCCTTCAACACATCGCCATGGCAGCATCAGGCAGCCGCTTATCGCGCCCTTCCGACGGAACTGGCAGACCGCATTCTCACCCCCGTGATCTTCGACGGCAAGATGCTAGTCACTCCAAGAGCAGGAGCGGCGGCGACCGCAGTGGCTCCAACAGAAGGCAGGGACAAAGGCGGCATCGAGACCGAAGGGGTCAAGATAGGCGGCCCGACCGTGGCGATCGAGAGCGTGATCGTGACCGACGAGATGATAGGCGAGTACCTTTTCGAGCAGCCCCTCGCTCATCTGGACCTTCGGCATCACGCACGGACGCGCCTGCTGAACGAGACCCATAGCAGGCAGCTGCGACAGCATCAACACCGCAGCGGCACGCTGGAGCTAGTGGGGGACCTGCCAGACCACCTGGTCCTGAACACTTTCTTCTCTCTCCTCGAGCTGAACTCCAAGTTGCGCATGAGTTGGATGTTTATCCTGCGTTTCCTAACGATGGCGCCGCAGCTGCTGGCAGCGCTACCCACGTTGGTGGCCCACCTACCCCCAGATATTCAGCTCCTCCTCCTCAGCGCGCTGATCCTTCAGACCTGGAGCAAAGGCTGGCGGCGCCAGGCCAGGCGCAGATTGCGCGGGCGACGGCTCAGCTCACGGCCGCGGCAAACTCTCTCATCGCGCAGCAGCAGCAGGCCTTCAACGCACAGGTGCACGAGTTCTTGGCCGTCAGCAAACAGAATGCGGCGCACCCCGAGCTGCGCGACAAGAGCACTCACGAACTACATTCCAGATCAGACATGGTCGAGGCAGACCAGACAGCAGACCTACGAGAGAATCCCCGAGAGATCTCCCTGATCGTCTCGACAGGGATGGCAGGATGCGGGTCCTGGGTACGAAGCCTAATCTTGGGGGCCTGGGTGCTGGCATGCCAAAGTTTCCCAAACTTCGACCTTTCCGCGTGCAGCAACTCAGTGGGGCCCGCGACCAAGGAACCGAACCTACTCAGGGTACTCGTCGGCCTCCAAGCCGCGGGACCACTTGATGGGCTCTTCTGGCCCCCTGGTTGATGCCCTCCGACAGCCAGGCGGCCCAGTCCTTCCTAGCCCGGGTGATGAACTTTGTGTTAGTCGCCTCGAGGACCTCTTGGAGCCTAGCGCCGACGGCGACAATTTCTCGATCCAAATCGCCCGTGGAGGCCCCGTCCAGCCAGGAACAAGCCAGGCTACCCACTCTAACAAAAAGGTCCACATGGTCTCCACGATTGTCTCTGACAGGGGGGGGGGGGGGGGCTGCTCGCGACTTCAGCCAGAGCACGAGCGCCCTTGCCCGTGTGGGCCGACTTAATGTACTTCGCAAGACGGTTGGAGGAGGAGTTCAACCACCTCATACCGTGGAGCTCGGGGTAGCGAGGGGGGGGGGGGGGGCAGGCCCCGCCCCGGGGCGGGGCGCCACCGCAGGGCCACCCCCTTACCCCGAGCCCCATAGTAAGAGATGCTACAACCCACCACGTTGCAGAGCTCCCGCTCCGCGGTGTTCGCCCAAACTTTGTAGCACGTCGCTAACAAATAATCAAACGCTTCGGAATCCCCCCTCAAGGCCCGAGCTCGAGCCTTGTCCATCAGCGAAAAAACTTTACTGTAGCCCAGAGGTTGGGGCGACGGACCGAAAGGGGGATCCGCGGCAATCGGAGGGGTTTTCCTGAAGGGCAACGCGTGAAGGTTGGCCAGCGGGCAAAAAAACTGAACACGGACGGGGACATGCGGCGCAAAACTGGCCCCCACGTCGTTAATCGAGGCTGACTGAACCGCTTTAGCCAGCCCTCCAGAGACCACAAAATAATCATAGAGTTTGGGATCCCCCGTCCCGAAGCACGTAGGTCCCGAAGTCGAAGCAAGCTGGGCCTTCAAGTTACTGACGAACTCGGTGCCATGCAACACATCTGGCTCGTTATTGAAGTCGCCGCCCACGATTCAGGGAAGGCCCAGCACCGACAGCTCTGCCCCGAGAGCTCCCAGGACCTCGAGATTGCGGTCGCCCATTCCAGCAGAATCTTCCAGGTAACGGGAGGAGGCAAAGATGGACTGACCCCTGGGTGGCTGTGCAACCGCAGCGACGGCCCGATGAGGCCATGCAATCGAACCGTGGCAGAGACTCGATCAGCCCCATCCAGGCTCGGACTAGGATAGCCACCCCAGACGACGCCCCTCCCCCCCCCCCCCCCCCCCCCTCTCCAAGGGTGCATGGGGCCCAGACAGACTTCCAGCCCTGCGAGAAACACCACTGTGTGGGACTTGGTCTCCCGCAAGGAGTTTGCGTTCCCGGCCGAAAGGACATGGGCCGTGCACTGAGGCAACAATTCCTTCACAGACGACCAAGCGTTGCCGTTGATCGTTTCGACCACTAAGGAAAAATCCTCCGGGGGGGGGGGCCTCGGGGACGTCGGGATGGCTCGGAGCGACAGCTTTTTGAATTGTTATAAAGTTGCCCCTCATCAGGCCGAGGGGGCTGCGCGTGTGGCCTGGATTTAGGTTGCCCCGCCCCAGGCAGCGGGGACAGCGCATTACGCCTGGATGTGTCCAAACCATTCGAAAAGGGGCCGATGCCCTCACTCGCAAGATTGTTGATCTCGCCCTTAGCCTGTTGTGACTGGACTTCCCGCGGCAGCAGCGTGGCTTTCGGAATGAGACCGTGCACCATCGGACCTGCTGCCCCGCAGGGGGCGGTGGGATGGCTGGGAGGAAAACAATAAGACGAGAGGTGCCCTGCTCCAGGCAACAGGGACTGCTCAGAATGCTTGGATTGCTGATTCGCCGAGGAGTGGCGACGCCCCTCCTCAGCTCTCGCAGCGCACTGCGAGGTCCTGACCAGATTTCCGACACGTCCAGCGCCAGGTGGGGATGAGAGTTGAGCCCCCGTCCAGGGCCCCCCTGAGCCCAAAGAGTCCTTGGAAACTGCGAGCCCCCGCCAGCGTCTGCCGTGCCTGGCGGAGCTCCTTCCTTCAATGCCAAATGAAAGCTTGAAAAAGTTTGCTGGCGATCCCCCCCGCAGCTAGGTTCCACATGGCACGACACGACCTCACGAACTCGCTGTGGGGGGGGTTGCCTGTGCAGCCGTGATTCTGGCAGCCTCGGCGCGGACCCGCGCGAGCATGGCGTCAGAGTCTCCAGGTACAGGCGGTGTCCCAGGCGACGCCGGTTGCTCGGCGGCCTCGGCGGCAGCGGGAGCGGAAGCCGCCGCTGCGGCACCCGCTGCTGGAGCATCACCTTGCCCGTCGAGAGGCCCACCAGCAGCTTCACCAGCAGAGGTGCGGCGGCGCTTCTGCTCCAGACGAGCGGTCTGGGCAGCGTGGGCCTCCTTGGCCTCCTTGGCGTTGTTGGCCGCCTGGGCGAAGAGTTTCTTCGCCGTGGTGTGGAACTGCGAGACCAGAGTGTCGCGGCGCTTCTTGATCTCGTCCATTTCTTCAGCACAGATGTCGTCGTCGCCCGCGCTGAAGACCGAGCCAAGATCGATGTTGAATCCGTCCAGCCAACAAGTCCGCCAGGTGGATCGTGGGGACCGAGTGCTCGGCGGCGTCTGGCTTCGTGGAGGAAGCGACGAGCTTTGCTGTCTCCTCGTAGCTCTTGTCCAACTGGCCCAGCTCGATCGACATAGTGCGCACCAAGTCCCGCTGGGCTGCCAGCTGCGTCTCAAGCGTGGAGATCCGCTTGAGCCCCTTCTCCATGCGATTCCCGTGCTTGACCCTCTCACGCTGGATGCGAGCCAGGTGCTCTTCGGGACCAGGCTTGGGGGCAGAAGGAGCCCGACGAGCAGCGAGCTGGGCCCGAGCCTTGCCCGCAGCCTCGGTCCACCCCATCTTTTCGACCATCTTGATGAAGGACTCGAGCTCCTCCACCGACAGCTCCGCGTGCCTGGGGTCCTGCTGCGCTGCGCCACCTTGTAGCCCTGGGGGCTTGGCGCCGCCCTTGAAGAGCGCGGTCGAGCCACCGTTCCACGCGGAGCCAGTGGGTGCATTCCGAAGAGCTCCACAGTGCTTGCAGAAGAGGTACGACGGCTTGTTCTTGCGGCATCCGCAGGAGCCACAAGACCACTTGCCGCCAGGAAGGGGCCCAGAGCCATCGCCACGAGGAGCTTGAGGGCCTGGCCGAAGGACAGGCCACTCCTCAGCTTCACGCCACGGTGGGATGGGGCCGCCGCCTTTGCCTCCGTACGAGCCCCAGTTCGCGTGCCATGGGCGCCACGAGACCTTGGACTGGCCACCAGTGCCTTTGCCAGCCATTGCGAGAATGCCGTGGTGGCAACTGCTCCGATGGAGCGCGATACGAGGGTTGAGATCCCTCAGACTGCGGAAGAAGAAAGCCAAAACGGCCCGCAACAGCAGTGCGCCGTTCTGAAGAGTTGCTGTTGCAAGCGCAGGCAAAGCCTGAGCTAGAACGGCTCTCTTGAGCCAACATGGCCACGGATCGATCTTGAGTAGGTGAGGGCTTCCCTCAGGGCTACTGAACTTCATTCAAGCGTTGTATTTCCTTCCCGGAGGTTTTGCCAGGATCCAGAACCGCGCTGCCTTCCGTTTTTTTCATGCGTGCTCAGGCGTGCCCCCGGGATGCCTCTTATCTGGGTCTCCTTGGGCCCTGGCCATGGACCCCGTCCTTAGATGCCTGCGCGCAGCCACCCAGCTCCCGAAGGCGAGGCGTCGCAAGGGCGCGCATGGGGTCGCGCGGACGACGTCGTGGCGGCAACGCCTCGCCTTCGCGACCTGTTGAGGGTCTCACAAGTTATTCTGGACATTGAACGTTTTGCTTTTTCTCAAGCTCCAGGGAATGCCACGATTGTTCGCTTCCGGGCAGGCAAATGCTCTGCCCCCTGCTGGAAGCGCCCCGACTCGATTGAGCAATTCTTAGAGCGCGCGAGGCTTCCGCCACCCCGCCCCCATGACAGCCAAGGGTGGCTCCAGGCGTTTCGGGCGGCGCGTGAGAACGCGATGCTCGCAATGAACGGGTCGCGCCGCCCTCGCCCGCAGCGCATCTTTGCGCGCTCCCTTCGAGTATGCGCCTTCCCTGGTTCCTTCCCTATCACTCTCTGCAAGCGCCTTCGTGCGCGGCAGGTCACAATTCCCGGGGGGGCGTAGGTCGGTGGCGGGACGGTGGGAACACTGCAAGACCTGCCTCGCCACGCCCAAGCCTGCCTGGCTGTGGGGCATGTTCAAACCCTCTGCGGGGCATGGACGACTACGCATAGGCTGCGCATGGGCACCCCACCATCCACTTGTATATGGGGCTGCCAGCAGCGCGACGAAATCTCACGCCACTTACAGCGCCCGCGCATGTTTCATCATCTCGCCATGCACCAGCCATGGAGGAGGCGCCACTTGCCAGGATCCCCCTTCGCGCCGCTCGGCCTGGGATGGGATGCAGACTACGAGTGCGATGGCCCAAGGCTCACACTCGCAGAATGCCTGCGTGCCGTGGTGCTCGCATATCATATGTACCACAAAACCGATGTCCTTGGCGCGCGCGTGTGACATCAGAGGTGCAGCAGAGCTCGCCATGGAGCGATCGCTGCCGCTTTTCATAGTCCGTCTATCGGATTTGGGGATGCGGTGGTGGGACGTTCGTTTATGTGGGGTGGGGATTGGTCCTGGCCCTGTGAAGCCTCGTTGCTGCGGTCGAGGATTTCCCCCGCTCAAAGCGTCGCCCTGGTCTGCTGCGAAGTCGGCGACTCGGCGCTCTCGCACTCGCAGTGCCTCTCTGCTCTCTCTCGTGCGCGTGCGTGCGTGCGTGCGTGCGTGCGTGCGTGCGTGCGTGCGTGCGTGCGTGCGTGCGTGCGTGCGTGCGTGCGTGTGCGCGCGTGCGTGCGTGCGTGTGCGTGTGTGTGTGTGTGTGTGTGTGTGTGTGTGTGTGTGTGTGTGTGTGTGTGTGTGTGTGTGTGTGTGTGTGTGTGTGTGTTGTGTGGTGTGTGTGTGTGTGTGTGTGTGCGTGTGCGTGCGTGTGCGTGCGTGCGTGTGCGTGTGTGTGTGTGTGTGGGGGGGGGGGGGCTGGAAGCGGACTGCGGGTGGGGGTGGGTTCGATTCTCGTTTCCTTGCCTCTCGAGCTCCTGCGGCTGCAGCTCCAGAGTGGCGATCGCTTTCCCTCGGGCAGTCGCGGCTTCGCGGGCTCAG